TCTCTGGGTCACGCCCCCTACACAGGTAATGTGAGCTATTATTCTCCCTAGTCTAATATGCGTGTCACGGTCAGTTACGAATATTCACGCTTTTGATTGGGTGCTAATAAGGTAATTTTTGTTATATAATAAAATTGTTTTTAAGAAGTAGTAAATAAAAAATTTGCAACTTTCCTATTAGTTCTGGTCGCCAGTTTACGTGTTAAAAAATTAGGATATAAATTAATTTATAACAATATAAGAACGGAAACTCAAATTCAAAGTCACGTCGCCTCCAAGCAAAATCTGAAAGTTTTCGCATTCAATTTTATGCGACACGTTCCATTCTTTACGACGCTCGGGAACCCGAACTGATAATGCTTAGGAACGAAAAACGAAATAATCTTTAGGATGAACCTTCACTCGCGCGGGTGATGGTGCAGCTTATTGGTTCTATAAAATGTTAACAGTTCCCCGCGAAAATGTTATCTGCTTAAAATTTCTTAAGACGGTCCCAACCTGAATCTAAATGACTTTAAATTTGCCACCGATGACTTACCATCGATAGCAAGTTGAAAACGATCGGTTTGCTTGATTTAGGCAGCACTACAAGTAGTCAACACGTGTATTCTAAATTCCAAGGCCATCTATCTCACGACCGGAATGCTTCTCAGCCGTGGAGCATCAAAAACCAATCCACTCGTTATGCTCAACAAGTGGCAGTGCATTTCTCTCGAGCATTGCTGTCAAATTTACACGTAAAACACGCGCTGATAAGTAGCATTTAACATGTAAAATAGTAAATTTACACGTAAAACACGCGCTGAGAAGCAGCATTTAACATGTAAAATAGTAAATTTACACGTAAAACACGTGCTGATAAGTAGCATTTAACATATAAAATAGTAAATTTACACGTAAAACACGCGCTGATAAGCAGCATTTAACATGTAAAATAGTAAATTTACACGTAAAACACGCGCTGATAAGTAGCATTTAACATGTAAAATAGTAAATTTACACGTAAAACACGCGCTGATAAGTAGCATTTAACATGTGAAATAGTAAATTTACACGTAAAACGCGCTGATAATTAGCTTCTAACATATAAAATAGTAAATTTACACGGAAAACACGCGCTGATAAGTAGCATTTAACATGTAAAATAGTAAATTTACACGTAAAACACGCGCTGATAAGTAGCATTCAACATGTAAAATAGTAAATTTACACGTAAAACACGCGCTGATAAGTAGCATTTAACATATGAAATAGTAAATTTACACGTAAAACGCGCTGATAATTAGCTTCTAACATATAAAATAGTAAATTTACACGTAAAACACGCGCTGAAAAGTATCCTTTAACATGTAAAATATTGAAGTCTATTTATGCGATGGCGAGTTTAACAATCATCGGTTGCAATTCAAGACGCTGTAGTGCACACTCCATAGGATGGCATTTGTCAACGTCCGTAGCGCGTGCTCCGAGCTGTAGTAGTTATGAAGTGGTCATCAATTGCTGTCTCTCAACAATAAAAATCAACGATCAATCCACCGGCATAGAATCAAATTAGCATCGCTCGGGTTAAATTGGTTAAATTAGTACACAAATGAAATCGTACCGAGCCTAACTTTAATATAAGTGCAATATTTTTTTGCGATATTCAAATTCATCAAACACAAACAAAATTTATTTTCGCGATCATGAGGACCCAATATCATTCATTGTATAAGGATCGAACGTATAACCCAGTGATGCAAATTTTGAACGTTTTAGGCATATATTATTAAAACCTTAGCAATTACTAGAATTTTATCCAGTCCGCGGCAGTTATTGTGGACATATTCGAGCCTCCCTGTAACCATGGGCTCAAAAATGCAAGTCATGGCTGTATTGGTGGGTTGCTAATCAGGAATTGATTGTCGAGTGCTGTTATAAAATGCTAAAATACTAAACCTATATCCACTGCCAGGGGCTCATGATCAAAGTCGATTTTGGTTAGAGAAACATCAAAGGTTAATGGTCAAAATAAGCAAACTTTTGAGAACTTGTAACCTTAAAAAGCTAAAAAGGGAATAATTGTGTGAAAAAAAAAACAATTGCAGTTAGCATACAAAAGACTATCACAAAAGTTAAGTGATATATCTGTAAACGCGATCTCGAGAATCGCAAGTCATGTCATGAGGGATGATGCGGAAAAGGCATCATGGCATTCCAGGAAGGCTGTAACATGTATACCTTTAACACTTTAAGTACACAGCATAGGCATCGCAAAACAGACACGGGGCAAAATTATAGCGCATTCCATGAACAAAGCTTAAGCTCAATGTGACCTTCAGAGGCGGAAAAACTGGTCATCTGCAATGATTGAGATATAAAGGCCTTTGTGGAACCAAAAGGACGTGTGTGGCAGCGGTTAGTGTAGGTAGTTTTTTTTTAGCCATAGGCTCTTCTTTCAATAGGAAATAAATTTGCTAGTATATACGGGAATTCGGAATTGAATTTAAACAACAATTTTTGCTTAAACATCAGCCAGAGTAAATTAGGGTTTTAAGACAATTAAGGGCATTAAAATATCATACAGATAACTTAGTTAATTTTAATAGAGTACGAGGCCAGTCTTATTACGCCGTTACGAATTTATAATGAGCGTTGTAGTGTGGCAGCAAATATTTGTTATACATAAATAAAATATAAGAATAACAGTATTATGAATTGTATGATTATTTTTATTTAAAAAAACGCATCAAAGTTCCAAGCAGGCAAAAAATTTAATCATTAAATTATGCATGGAACAAAAACTGCGACTTCTAATAGCCGAAACGTGGAAGGCAACACGCATGTTCATCTGAACCTCCCGACTCGCACAATTAAGTGGCGAGACTAATCCATTGATTTATTTAAATCAATTTGCAGTACGTATTTCTAGTAACAGGTGCGAATGATAATTCTAATGATATTCCACGAAACTAATTGAAAATTAGAAGCGTTACGTAACACGCGAAGGTTGGAATTCTCGATCAGTAAGGATTTGACGAAATATTAGCAGATTTAACTATTGCATTCTAAAACTTTGTGGAAAATTTAACTTTAATTTCAAAACTAGAATCAAGACATACATTCTAAGAAATTGAAAAATATCAAATCGAAAAAAAATATATTCTTCAAAGAACTTTCAATCGAGGGTAAAAATACAAAGAATTTCAGACTAAAAACTGATATTTTTTAGAGAATGTCAGCAGTGATCACAAATTGCGGCGAACGAAAGACTAAAAAATATTGTTATATTCCAGTGAGTGCAAACAATTAATAACGGCGAACGACACACAAGAAAATTTTGTTATATTCCTTAGAGTGCAAACAATTAATAAGCAACAGTGAAGAGGAAGAGAGATGTGGGTATCGGAGGTCATGGTCAGGCGCTCTGCATTATTGGAATTTGAAAGAAATTTTTGTGATGGCATTCGTGTAGTAAATTAAAGTATGTGTATTTTGTTTACATCATGCATTTTCTCGTGGTCGAGATCATGGCATCATGCACGTAAGCTATTTGAATGGGAATTGGTAAAAAAAATTCTGCGACGGCAGTCGATAAATCAATTAAAATAAGTGTATTTCAATAACATTATTTATACTTGTTAAAAATCAAGAAATTTTACTTGGCGCGCAGCTTATAATGTAAACTGTTTAGGAGACGACTATTCTACTCTGTATGTATCTATGTATTTGTTCAGAGCTATGTAAATTTGATTTGTAAGAGATAAAATTGATAAAATTAGCTAAATAGAGGGAAAACCCCTTTGATGAAAAATATTCGCTAATCACAGCTTTGAACTTAGGACTCACTCCAAAAGCCGTTTGAAAGTCACATTGAACAGAAAATTTTTAAAGCCTAACTCAAGCGGACGTTTTGAAAACCACACTCTAGCGACCAATTTGAGAATCACATACAACCGAGACAATGGAGCTCTCAACTTCAGCTACCGTATCGAGTGCTTCACTCCCTTAGCAAATTTAGAGAGCAAGTGCCAATCAATAGTAAGGATTTGACGAAATATTAGCAGATTTAACTATTGCATTCTAAAACTTTGTGGAAAATTTAACTTTAATTTCAAAACTAGAATCAAGACATACATTCTGAGAAATTTAAAAATATTAAATCGAAAAAAAATTAGATTCTTCAAAGAACTTTCAGTCGAGGGTGAAAAAGCAAAAAATTTCAGACTAAAAACTGATATTTTCTAGAGAATGTCAGCAGTGATCACAAATTGCGGCGAACGAAAGACTAGAAAATATTGTTATATTCCAGCGAGTCCAAACAATTAATAAGCAACAGTGAAGAGGAAGAGAGATGTGGGTATCGGAGGTCATGGTCAGGCGCTCTGCATTAGGCGTCAACGCGCGTATGCCAGACGCCTCTACCTACGCTTTGTTTACATGCGTATATCGTGCACATCATTTGTACTGTAGTGTATACATCTGTATACAATACAATTGTATATCGCGACATCGTTGGCACTGTATTTGTTTACGTCTGTATACAATACAATTGTATGCATCTGTATATATTGGTACTACTGTATTGTATACATCTGTATACAATACATTGGTACTGTATTGCATAGGTACATCATTTGTACCGTATTTGTTTACGCTGAGTAATTGCATTTCTACATTTCGAGAAAATAGATGCTGCTCATATGCAGGTTGAATTGGAATTTGAGAGAAATTTTTGTGATGGCATTCATTCAGTAAATTAAAGTATGTGTATTTTGTTTACATCATGTATTATCTCGCGGTCGAGAGCATGCATCATGCACGTAAGCTCATCGAATGGGAATTGGTGAAAAAATATAGTGACAGCAGTTGATAAATCAATTAAAGTAAGTGTATTTCAATAACATTATTGAAATAACAAATTTGCTCTCCCTTAGCAAATTTAGAGAGCAAGTGCCACTCAATGGACAGTTTTGAGAGCTCTCTGGGACTCGGCGTGTTGAAAGCAGAGCTTGACTCACCGTTCTGAGAGCCTCGGTTGGCAGCATTTTTGTTGTTGGTCCAGCGGAGCAGGGCAGAGTTCTTCATCATCCTCCAATGGGACGCTCTCTGTCAAAAAAAAAAATACAAATAATAATGCGAATTTATATTTTGGCTATAATGGAATGTAAAATATAAAGACATTATATTTTAAAAGGGGAAGACATATAAAGGGAAGACATATATTCCCTTTTATAAAGACATACATAAGGGAATGTAAAATATAAAGACATTATATTTTAAAAGGGGAAGACATATAAAGGGAAGACATATAAAGGGAAGACATATATTCCCTTTTATAAAGACATATATAAGGGAATGTAAAATATAAAGGCATAAGGGAACAAATATAGACATTGCAGCGCTTATACAATAGATTATAAGCACAAAATACACAAATTATTCAATCTCGATAGACGTAAAAAAATACAGAAACCATTCATATTTATGTATACTGCAAGAAATTGACCAGTCAATACTTAGAAGGAGAAATCCTTTTGGCATAATATAGAATTAAAATCTTAAAGCACCCCTAATTTCATTTTTATTTATTCAACTTCGTTTGATTCCTCTAGGCTATATCTATAAATTCGTACTAAAATCATGCGAGATCATGTGAAGTTATTTCTAAAGAATGAATTTTTTATGAACGATACATTACATATTAACGCCCAGGTGCAGGCGAATACCTAGCGGTCTCTCGGCAGTTCAACTTTCACTATACGGCGTGGCTTGCGATCGTCTTTTGTTTCGAGGGAAAGGAGTGCAAATTTTCAACTTATTGCACAATGAACGATGTATATTAATCCACATTTATTCTACAGCAACAGAGATATACCAATAATAATAATACGTAGTTGTTGGAAAAATAATATTATATAGAATTAAAACGTTCAAAATGAGGTTTCTTGGCGATAAAAAAAACTGCTATGCGTGCGACAGTTAATTGTTTACATCAATTTTTCGATGCGCAAAGTCGTAAAAAATCAAACAACAAACAATTCATGTATTCAAGAATATTAATTATTAGTTTGAAAAAAACCCAGCAAAATATTTCTGGAAAGATATTCATCAGTATCCCTTAAATTTATCTTAAATATTAAAAGTGGTAAAATGACATGCACGATAAGTTGAGAAACTTTAAAGAACTGGAGGTGAGTTTGACACGGAAAATAAATATAGTCTTGCATCACAAAACTTCCGCCCGAAGCTTAGGCTGAGGAGGTTAAGTATTTGCGAAGAATTTCAAAAAATATTTCCGTATTTTTTTTATTAAAACGAAGTAAAAAATCTACCAGGCGACTCCGTGGCTAGTTAGCTAGCATTAATAATTAGTAATTACTAATTATTTTTAACATATTTGAATAGTTTTAACTGATTTGAATCAACAATGCGAGAAAACTACAAGTGCCAAGTCGTTTGATAAAAAAACTCAAATATTTTTTTATTCAATCTCCAAACTCTACACATAGAAGCCTCGAAAAGGTGAGGAGTAAAAATAGACGTTTCTTCCCCTGGCACCAGCAAGACCACAAAGACTATACACGCTGAATAATTATTTGACGCTGAGCCTGGCAGTGAGTAACTTCGAAAACAGAAGAGTAAAAATGACCTTGTCTCACTTTCGCAATTTCTACCTGAAGTGTTATCCTATCGCGACGCATGACAAAGAGGACGTGATTGTAAGAAAAATGCGTTCCGCGTCCAAGCAAAATTTGTTTGTGTGTAAAACTGTCAGCAACTTGCAATGAAGCATCAGCATCTTGCATGCTAACGCATACCTACTCCCTGCATGGGTCACTGCTATCTGAATAATTATCGTTATAACAAGCTCGAATTTCCTTCGATGATTACTGGATATTCGCTTCTAATAAATAACCACAACAAAATTTATTTAAACAAGAATGGGTAATTTTACGCAGTCCGAATGAACAACGAGATGTCTGTAACACATTGTATATAAGAATGAGTGGAATGGAGCATCAAGTCTCACATATAGGGAACTGTGAAGTTACTCGACCAATTGGGCACATACGTGAATTTTTATGTATATTTCTGTATAATAATTGAAGTGCAAACGAACATTCGACAGTCGACTACATGTAATTTCCCAAAACTTGATTGACCATGCATGTAAATACAATACCTTCTGGTCACAAATCATCTTTGTTATAACAAGCTCGAATTTCCTTCGATGATTACTGGATATTCGCTTCTAATAAATAACCACAACAAAATTTATTTAAACAAGAATGGGTAATTTCACGCAGTCCGAATGAACAACGAGATGTCTGTAACACATTGTATATAAGAATGAGTGGAATGGAGCATCAAGTCTCACATATAGGGAACTGTGAAGTTACTCGACCAATTGGGCACATACGTGAATTTTTATGTATATTTCTGCATAATAATTTAAGTGTAAAAGAATATTCGACAGTCGACTACATGTAATTTCCCAAAACTTGATTGACCATGCATGTAAATACAATACCTTCTGGTCACAAATCATCTTTCCTACGCCAAGCTCCGAGCCAGACCAACTGATTAAAATTGTAATGTTTTTTAAAAAAAATTTCACGATATTGAAAATAAAATAACGTTCAGTTTAATTTTATGCTAAAATAATTGCGATCACACAGAACAAAGTCTTGTATACCTAATTTCACAAATTGTCAATACCGTTTGGTTCTAGAATAATTTGTATTTGTAATTCAACGAAGTTCTTGCGCTTAGCATGAGCTCAAGCTTCCATTTACGGCAAGCTTACAGCCGTACACCCTATCGGAACCACGCGTTGAATACATGACGCCTAGTTAACGACGCACACGCCTTACGAGAACTGTTAACACTTCGTCCAGCAATGGTGATAAAATATCTGCGGGGTTTAAAGTTCACAAATAGAGTCTTACAACCCTTACACCCGTAATCAGAAACGGCCAAAAAATTAGTCAAAGTAGAACGACATTCGAAGAAAATCAAGTCTCAAAGTGCTTTAAATGACTGTTCCAAGCTGAATATACATCATGCACGTTGCAAGTCCTCATTGCCGTTTTCCATGGAGCGGTCGGAACAATAGCACGACCCAACTGTTTAGCCGACCTTAAAAACAGACGAGAACTTCTTTACTAACCACTGCGCTACAGTGTCAAATGCGAGCAATAAGAAAGAACTTCAATGTATCAGAAAGAAGACGAGAGAAAGTCTAAAGACATTGCAGTCAGGAAAAGGTTCCCAAGCCGTGATCATGCAGCTCTTGACAGCCAGAAACCTAAGTACGTTCACCCCCACATAAGAACTTCATTAATGCGAGATGCGAGAACAAACACAGGAAAGCGGCTACCTGGGTGCTTGGGGAAGAAGAAATGATCGACGAGGCAAAAGGAAGCCCAGCAGGGAAATCTTGAGGACGACTTAATAGCGATGACAGTTACGCTGAGTTAGAGTGTTGTGTGGTCGCTAGTTTCAAAAATGGAAGTCTTACTTGAATGCAAGGCAACAGAAATTAACACAATTGAAACAACACTAATGAGAAGATACGATATTTGTTTTCATTTTCATTGCACATAAACAAGTGTAACTGTTCACTTAGACAGCATGAAAAAGGCGGATATTGATCAGAGTGGGTTAAATTTGTCTCCGTACGCTATTTTTGTTCAAGATTCCGCGTAGGATTGTCCAAAAAGGCTACGAATATATATACTGTCTTGGGGAATCAATGCAAGCCGTTTTCAGGTGCTACCTCAATGCAATCGCTATCACAATGAGCAGGGAAGCTAAGACAAGCTTATCGCAAGTTCATGAAAAACAATGTAGTGGTTGAGCTCAAGGGACTCGTATCGGGAGCTCGTTACCGTTCACAAGTGAAAGTGTGTTATAGGCGGGACTGTCACACGCATAACGAGGTTCCTTGAGTTCCCTTGCAGGAAGTGAGTCAGTCATCCGGCAACGACAAAGAATTCATCCGTTCGTATCTTAGCAAAGAAACCGCCAAATTTATCGTCACAGCGCTTTGCGGATATTACCTGCAGCTAAGTAATCGCCAACTCACTCTGTCATCCTGCTATCGCAAAGGGCGATTGCAATCAGCTATCGCTACCACACTTCATGGATACCTACCTACAGAACACTAAACTCATCTTTGTATCTCAACAGATCTACATCCTCGCACCAAAAACCATATTTATATATCGTCACCCCACTTAGATCATCGTTCCCTGGCCCTGTGGAGACAAGTCACCGTCCAAAATCCATCGGAAGCCCTCGCCAGTTTCAAAAGAAATTTCGTATATTGCTGGATTTATGAGTTCATTGTCTGAGTTCTTGGTTGCGTACAATCTTCAGCACAACGCAACACCAATAAATTGTGATTCGTCAGGGCTCAATTGCGTAGAAAGGCGCCTGGGATCAAGTAACATTACTTATAGACAGACATACTGTATGCAAGTCGAAAATTAAGCCTGTATGGCTGGCGGCGAATAGTAAACACGATTAATTGCTTAGGAATTTATCATTAATATGAATTTTCCGGCAGGGTTGAACAGAAACCGTTAACGTTGATGTGCTGAAACGACCAATAATTCTACCCGAAGCAGACTACTCAACATGGTCTTTTCTCTGTAAATAACGCAGGTTTGGAATGATGGGGTTATAGACAGCATAGCTTGCTGAGAGCGCAGACAGGATTACGTTTGGAAAGACCTTTGACTTTGTAATGACTTTGTAATGACATTGCCATTAGCCAGGATTATGAGCCAATGTTCAGCTCTCGAGTTGAATTAGATCCCTTGTAATTCTTGCATAAATTCTCAAACTTGAGATTTAAATGAAATGAAACACTCGATATTCAGGAGATTTTATAGATTTCCTGCAACTACTTTTTTGGCATGGTCCTATTTATGATTAGATACATACGGTAACATAGTAGATAAACTAAAAAATGAAGGAGGATAAACAGGCTTTTCAAATAAAAAGCAAACATGGTTAACCAAATGGACCCTGTCCTTCATAACACAAGCACAACAAGTTGCTTAGAAATCATAGTCTGAGAGCAAGCCAGGCATGGCGAG